GGCCTGGGGATAAAGACCGTAATCCGTCCCCACCCGAATGATGAATGTTGTGTACTATTTTTACTATGTATTGTNACTGGCCTACCAGCACCAGGGCAAGACGGTATCACCTAGACTCACTGCTCATTCCACACAGAGTGCGGAGTGTGGCCACCATGGCCATGTGGGCAACACAAGCTCCTGTGGAAGAAATCTGCAGAGTTGGTCGTCTCCAACTCTGTTCATTAAGCATTACCGCATTGACTCCTAGGCTGCAGCAGAGGCGTCCTTTGGAAGGAGAGTGTTGGAGAGGGTAGTTGTGACTCCGCACACCCTAGACAATCATGTTGCCCTCCCTGGGACTTCATAGCTTGGTATGACCCATGCTTGGACTCTCCAAGCAGCGCACAGGAGACCGTTGGCTTACCTGAACAGTCGTTCTCTGGGCGCTGCGGGAGAGTCCAACCCTGCCCTGGGGTTTTCGTCGTTCCTTATTTATCAGGCGTCTCAGGCTGTTCGAAGTGTGTGGGCTATGGAGACTTCCAAAGGACACTTCAAGATCACAGTCCATCATAGACTACGCCTTCGTTTTTGAACTGGACCTCAATGAGGAGTGGGGGCATGGCTAAGAATTTCAACTCAGTCCTTGGACGAATAGACTGAATTTAACCCATGCTTGGACTCTCCCGCAGTGCCCAGAGAATGACCGTTCAGGTAAGCCAACGGTCATTCCTCTTATCTATTTGGCAGTTCCATTTTCAGTGCCATCAAAAGCCTAAATCACCTAGTGGACTGTACACTCAGAATTCATCACCTGCCAACATTTCTGTCATTGAGTGGAAAGAGGACATTGAAGGAGGAGACATTTGAACAACTACCAAGAGAGAAACAGTGACAGAATGGAAAGACAAAGAAATATAACATAATAGATATCCCTCTATTTCTACTGACTTTACCTCTTCAGACAGAGAGAGGCAGAATGCCAGTAAAGAGAGAGAGTTCATTAGCTTCAGCCAAAGAAGAAGAAATTAAAAGAGCAATATGCTTTCCAGCCATCCATGATCAGATAGAAGAAGGAGAAGAAGCATCTGATGAAAGGGAAAGGGAGGAGACAACCTCTGGTGGCATAAAGTATGAAGTTAATAAAGCATGGCCTAGTGATCTTCCAGCTAGATGGAATTTTTCTATAAAGACTAAGAAGCTCATCTCCTAATCTCAAGGTCTAATTTCACACACTGGTAAAAGCAAGAAAACCTTGAATTCAAACTCTGGAAGAAACTTAGAAAGCTTGATTTCTGCACATATATGGTTTGTGTCCTGACTGCAATAAAACAACTTACCTAGCATTGTCATGCTTGTAAACCCTGCTATAAGCAATGTCCTGATTGCAAAATAAAACATCTGGAGAGGCAAGATTTATTACTGGGTCTGGTGTGAAGTCTGACACAATTAGCACATACAATTTCAGAAAGAATTTCAGTGGGAGATTAAAATGTTGCATTTTTATCTTTGATACAAAGAACCCTAGGGATTTTTATCATTATTCACAAAAGAAAGAAAAGGCAGTTTACAAAGTATATAATTTATCTTAAAGCAAAATTATTGAAAAGATTTATGTACTTAAGAATTCAAGAAACATTATTCTAGGGTATTTTCTCAGCATCTCAACTTGCCTCCTCAGAATAATTAGACAACATTCAAAGAAATAAAAATTCTTGTTCCGGAAACAGGCCAACTTGCAGGACTAGTGGTCCAAAAGCAAACTTAAAAGCAACACTGTGCAACACTTTTAAATGCAATCTGAAGATAAATTGAGTCTAGAAGAATATTAGAAAGGGATAGAATTGCCAAATTTCACTGATGAAAAATATCAATAATACAAACAGTCATATATAAATACACTCTCGGTGAATCATATATGTTTTAGAATGGAATAGAAATATTATGCTCAATAAGCCATAGTATACAACTGGGATTATTAACCAAGGAAGATTAATTTTATGACTACCCTCATTTTTAAGGTATAGCTCTTCTGCTTCACTTTTTTTAACAGGTATACATGTTTTTCCTTAAAGGAATAGGCCCAGAGAGGCTTTCTAAAATGTGAGTGGATGTTATCCCATTTTTATTAGTCAATGTTATTTATTTTAATTAATAAAATGTGAACAAGGTTGCAGCTACAAATGCAAATGTTTAATATTTTAGATATTGATGAAGGTGAGCTGTGCTGATAACAAAAATCAGTTCATTGTACTATAGGGAAGATTTCCAAATATGTGTGGAAATACATCCTTCTGCCCCCCCCCCCTTATTTTCTTTTGACCTTAGCCTCTCAGTCACATTATAACTTTGCTTTTCCAAGCTCTTTACTACTGTAGATTGCTTTCCTTTGAAGTTTTAAGAAATTTAGCCACTGGATACAACATTGTATATTGGAGCTATCTGGGAGACATGTACCTGTAGTGATAGATTGAAAGGGCAAATAATGCATGTTAAATTATTGTGAGCTATCAAAGATGGTGCAATTATGTAGTGTTTTTGCTTCTTAATGAAATAACTTTTTAAATATAAAGAGTCAGATGAATAGCCATGTTAGTCTATTTTGCAAGAAAGAAAGAAAAATAAAAGCTATACAAAGAGAATCTAAAGGTTTAAAATATTTAGTATGGCAAAAACTGCTGTACCTTTTTCATTTATTAGCTCTATGTTCCATCTTTCCACCAAAAAGAAATGGCTGATGCTCAACATAATAAATAGATAGTACTATGCACATTGATCTTAATGAAGGAATAACATCAATCAGAAGTCTGTAGAAAAATAGTTTAATATACTACAACATTCCTTTGAAGGATGCAGGTGTTCATTTAATTTTGTTCTTGTGAAAAGTTAATGTTTATTCAGCCTGCATTTAACATTTAATTGAATTGTTACTGGGTTTTGCATTCTATTTTATTCATTTTATCTATTTATGTTTTACAAATTACTCATTGTTAACCATGTATGGTGTCTTTTTTGCTTAACCCATGCATGTATACACCTGTCAACTGAGGAAAACATTTCTTCTCCTTCTTCTTCACAAAAAAGTAGGCTATAATAAATCAGTAATTTTTAACCTGTTACAAGACACTTTATACTCATCATGACATTTTGGACTAAATTGCATTTTTACCTGACTGAATATTTATAGTCTTACACAATTGGCATACTTCCAAGAAACTAAAATAGCTTGAAGCACTGCATAGTGCATACATTACACAGGTCTGAAAAAAAAANTGTAAGATTGAGATTGTCTTGGCAATGTTTCAGTGAGGTCCCACTCGCTATCCTCAAGCTAGTATTTTGGCTTTGTGTATTTTTTATACACATACACACAGACACATAATTTTAAGGAAATTAGAAATAACATTATTTTTAAATGTTACTGTGTCATAATGTATACAGTCTATTGGCCACCTGTTGCCTGATATGAGCCAGAAAGAATAACATGAAATTTATCTACCTATTCTTATTATTTTGAGCAACTTACAATTCTAAAATTATAAAACAATTTTTAAAACATTAAAACAAACATTTTGTTTCTTTCTATGGAGTATTTTACATTAATACGGATAGTTTTCCATTCTAATGGTACATTCAATTTGTAAAGAAATATGTTCCGCAAAAATAAGATATAATAAGATATAAGCCATCTTCTGTTTTCCATCTTATAACTTTTTACGTATAATATTTAGTTGAAAGACAAAAAAAACCCTTAGAAACAAGACAGTGTTGTTTCTGGTAGTGCATTTTTATAAACAAAGTGACATAGATTGAGACAGAAATACCATAGGGAAAAGCCAAGGAAACCCAAAAACCTGAAATGCTTCACGGAATGACATCTCTTCCAGATGGTGTTTTTAATACATTTATCAGATGGATATGAAAGACAATAATGAACATTCAAAATGGGGAGTGGCAATCCTCTCTTGGGAACTGAAGCAGCATGATACCTTCTGTGTGCTGAAATTATTTGATTAATCTCTAATATCCTATCGTATAAAATAGTGCAGCAAGTTTTTCCTTGGCATGTATTAAGAAACACTGTGGACAATATTACTCATAAATAGTCCATTTGTAATAAATATAATTTGCTTTCATATAGACAAGACACTAATTAAACATCAAAAGCAAGATTTAGGAACACCTTAGAATCAAAACACCCCTCTTAATATAAAAGCTGTTTGTAGTAGTGGTTAAGGTGCCAGCCTAGAGCCCAGGAGACTGGTGCTAGGCCACTTTAGGCATTCCCAGTCAAGTACTCTCATCCAACTGACCTCACGGGGTTGCGGTTGGGAACAAAATAGGAGAAAATATTGGTATGTTCCTCACCTAGTCTTATATATGCAAAAAAGAGAGGAGAATAAATATAAAAAAGTCTTCAGGTATATAACATCAATTGAAAATGTGAGAAAAATAAGATGAATTAATAGATGATTAATTATGCTGCATCTTCTGATCTTGAATTTTGTTTCTAAAAAGTGCATAGATAGAAAATATGCATCTTTATCTGTATAATGCATGTTTTGATTCAATAGAAATTTAATGATACTTTGGATGCTTGGAAAGTAACAGAAGAAGGACTCCTTAACAACCACACTTACATTGTGGCTAGATCTATTACCTGTCTGGTGTGATGGTTATTGGTCTCTTTACTTCTGTCCTTATTCTTTGAAACAATTTTTGATTATTGATTTTAAATGCATAATTCAAGTTTGTTAGTCACAGTAATTGTTTCAATATGTCTAAATGTTTTTGTGATAAATGTTTTGTTGTATAACTACTTTGAAGTTAAAAGGTTTCTGGCCTTCACTGATACAATTCACTCATTGCTCATTCATTTTTAATCTTGCCTCTGAAATGTATCCATGTTTTCCTGTGTGTTAGCAACATTTTTACTTATTTTTATTCTTTCCCAGATAGAGAAACTGATGGACTAAGTTGCCTGTGCCTTCCTTTGATTTCTTTTGTATTTTAATTTTCAGTTCCCACTGAGAATGTTGCAACAGTTGCAGATTGTGCCAGCGTGATTGAGGGCGTGAGCCGTAGCCGCAATGCTTTGTTGAATGGAGACACAAAGAATTATGACTGGGATTCCGGGTATACATGCCATCAGCTAGGCAGTGGTGCTATTGTTGTACAGCTGGCGCAGCCATACATGATTGGATCAATTCAGTAAGAAGATTTCTTTTTTCATGTAAAAATAGTTCACTAATGAGAATGCACGCCTCCTCATAGCTGCTGTGAAAAGTTCATATTTTCATGCAGTGATGGTGTTCTTAATATACAAAACCTAAGTTGGAAAGCAAACCAGTCTGTATATGCATATAGACACATTTGATATGAAAATAGTGACATAACTTGAGGGCAATCAATTTATTTTGTGCTGAGAATAGCACCAGAATCAGAATGCCTCCAGTTTGTGTTATTTTATATTGCTGTGTGATTTTTACATCTGCATAGCCTTGAGCTGATGAAATATTTATCTCCTCAAATTCATCTATGAGTCAGTGTGAGCAAAATGAAATGTTAATGTGTTAAATGAGAAAAAAATCTAGAATAAACTTCCTGGGTATCCATGAAGCTCAGTATATAATTTCTGACCAACTGCTACCTCCCTTCTAATGGCTTTTTAAAAAAGTTTTGGTACGGGGGCAGGTTGCAGGAGGATAACACTATTTATGGAAGAAAACCAAAGACAAATATGCATTGCTTAGAGGTCTTTGAGAAGACAAAGAGATTTTCTTGAAGATGTGTGGTAAAGGTTTGGAGACTACCACAAAATATTCAACTCTAAAAAAGAATTTAGGATTTTTTTCTCTTTGTGTAAATTATTATAATCCCTTAAAAAAACAAAAGGGTTTCACCATAGTAAACCTGTGATAGAGAAGCATAAAGAAAAAAAAATCACTTCCTTATGATAAAATAAGGAATTATGCTTTCTTTGTTTTTCATTTCTTATAGTTTGATATTAAAATGGTGAAGATACGAGAGGCACTGATATAAATGAAGGACAAAATAATGTTTATATTTCAAAATGCTTGACATTGAAAATATATTCATAAAATAGCATCCTTCAGATTATTTGACACACTTTTTTTTGTAAAAGTGGTCATTGTGCCACATTGACTTTCATTGATCCCAGATTTGTTGTGTCTCTCAGCTCTTGGAAAGGGTGCCAGATCTGCTTTTTTTACTGCAAAAGATAGACCTTTTCAAGTGTCAGTAATGTCATTTGTGCATTAATGATAAATAACATATTTGCTGAAAACAAAACATTGATTCTTGATTGTACCAACAAATCTATAAACTAAGATATTCTCCAAGGAGTGGAATATACTATCAAGGTCTGAACTAATTTCAGGAATTTGGATCATCTACAAACAGAAATGTGAATCATTTAGAGCATCAGATTGGGTGGGCACAGTTCTTTTCTTAATTTAATTTACATTTCTAGTTCACAGAGCAAGTAGATGGATATTTTATTTCATGTAAGGCAGAACGTTAGTTATTTTATAGCCCTGTGCTGATCTCCTTTGATGCCTAAAGTCCTTCACTTGCTCTGTACACTCAGCTTTTGAGGCTTAAAAGATTCCTCGTTGTAGGCTCCCTTCTAAAACAATTCAATGTTTCAATGTTTATTACACTTGTATGCCGCCCTATTCCCGAGGGACTCAGGGCAGCTAACAAACAAGGTGGGGAGGGGGGAATACAAACAACGAACAAAGACAAAAACAAATACAAAAAACAGCTTAAAAACAACGCAACAGTCACAACAATTCAAGTGGGGCTGGGAACTCATCAGCCCCAGGCCTGNATATTTTATTTTATTGCTATTTTCCTTTAATTGTTGACATCCTTGTTTGAAATGGATTTCTATATCCTTCCTGCTTAAAACTGAAAGACTTGATTCGGTGGCAAAATATCCTTTTGTTTTTCAGCATATTTGTCTTCTCTTTGTGTATGTGCATGTGTGTGCATACATATGCTATCATAGTCAACTGTTTTGAAAGCCACTCAAATCTTTTTGTCTCCGAATTAGGGTTAGGGTTTTATTTTCCTAGATCAGTTTTCATGATGCTCCTTATATATTTCTATAGTTTTTTTCCATGTTTTCCAGGACATACAGGTAATCCTAGATGTATGACCACATTTGGGCCCAAAATGAGACATTTGTTAAATGAGTTTTGCCTTATTTTACAACATTTCTTGTCACAGTTGTTAAGTGAATCATTTGCAGTTGTTAAGTTAGTAACCCAGTTGCTAAGTAAATCTGGCTTTCCCATTGACTTTGCTTGTCAGAAGATTGTAAAAAGTGATTACATGATCCTAAGACACAGCAACTGTCATAAATATGAAACAGTTCCAAACAGCTGAATTTTGATCATGTGACCATAGTGATGGTGCAAAGGTCGTAACTTTGAAAAACACTTATGTCACTTTTTTCAGTTCATTGTAACTTTGAATGATCTCTAAATGAACTGTTGTAACTCAAAGACTACCTGTACTTTACTACTATACCTATTCTCTTTAACCTTTAATCCATGTATTTAACCTAAGATCTCTTCATGATTGCACTTCTCTTTTTATTTTGTATTATGCAATCTATTTGATTCCAGTCATATTGATCTCATGTGTAGAAACTGCATTGATGTTGCATGAAGTATGTATTGGTAATAAAACCCTCTTAGTAAAATTCAGTTAATCTATCTCCTATATTGTTGCATTTACCAAATCATTTTTCCTATGCTTCTAGAATCCTCCAGTTCTACTTAACAACTAAATTGAGCTCAGAAGAGTGAAGCTTTAGCAGCAATCTGAATTGCTGTGCCATATCAGCTTTCTTTTCCATTATCTTGTATTAGATAGTCAATCCCATGTTAGCTCATGTTAGAATGCTGTATCAATTTAATAATGATGTCTTCTTCATTGTAAAGATTTCATTATCTCAGGGTGATTAGTGGTCTTCTTCTGTCAGTTTTTAAGAGTGATTATCTCTACTTTTTTCCATTTATTCTTCTATCCAATTACAACCGGTAGTATTGAATTGCCTCTACTTAGCAGTTATCAATATTTCTTGAATTTCCAATTTCTGCCAATTCCATATAAAAGAATGTGCTAACAGTTAATATAGTAATTATTTTTAGTCTTTAATTATATAACAAAAGAATATCAATGTTTTGTCATATACAGAAATAAACCTAAAATAGATATTGAGAGCAACAGCTTAGACTTTTATCATCATAAAATTTTCTCTTGACCTGCGAAATAAGTGCTTGGCCTTATTTTTNTGCTGGTTGTGTGTTCTCCAACACAACTCTCACAACGCTTCTCTGAACGCACTCGCTCTCCCAACAGGGAGCTTACCTAACAGATTGTGAGATTGTCCATTTGCACTCCTGACAACTGTTCCTGATGATTATATTGAGGGAACTGAAGTTTTTATGATTGAATTGTGAGTCGAGCAGTTGGAGTCATTTTCAACCAAGCTCACAGTTGTAATGTAGATTACATGGACATAAAGTTCACCAGGCCTCATTTCTTAATCACTTTCATGATTCAGTAATAATAGCAGTAGCCTTTGGACTTATATACCACTTTGCAGTGCTTTGCAGCCCTCGCTAAGTGGTTTACAGAGTCAGCATATTGCCCCCAACAGTCTGGGTCCTCATTTTACTGACTTTGGAAGGATGGAAGGCTGAGTCAACCTTGAGCTTGGTGAAATTTAAACTGCCAAATTGCAGGCAGTTGGCAGTCAGCAGAACTAGCCTGTAGTACTGCATTCTAACCACTGCGCCACCACAGCTCTTAAAAATGATTAGAACATTGTTTCTGAAAAGTTACAAACACACTAAAGAGTCAGATTAAGAGGCCAGTAAAATTTTGGAATTAATTATGAGAATCCTTCCTGTGGGAAAATGCTGTTGTTTTGAATTCTTTAAAAAAATGGTTAGGATGAAAGTCTTGTCCAAAGATATTTTTTAAAAATAATGTAATCTTTCGTTCCATCTGGAACGAAAGATTACAATTAAAAGATTTCATTTAAAAGTACAGCTTTTGTAATTTTAACTAATGAAACAATTGACAGCTTCCTAAAATCAGTTGATTTTTTTTTTCATTCTTATGGAATAGTTTATATCCTAACTAGAATATTGATTGCTGTTGAATATTGAAAATCATAGTTCATACTAACTGCTGGTGTAGGTCTTGTGAATCTTTTAACATCACCTATCTGACATAAAGCAGTTAAAATTGTACAGTATTAAACTATTGATTCATTCTAGAGAAGCTTTTACCAGTATAAATTAAATACATGAATCATAGAAATCAAAAAATAAAAGAATTATTAGGTCTTCAATTTTTCCCCTGTGGAGTTATTGTGAGATTATATTTCCTCAAGTTATATTATCAGTCCAGCTTCATAGGTCTCTAATGATATGGCTTTCAATGCTTCTCATGAACAATAAATCATAATTTAAAAGGTAGTAGTTATAGTTTCTCTCTCTCTCTCCTCTCTCTCTCTTTCTCTCTCTCTCTCTCTTTCTCTCTCTCTCTCTCTCTCAAACACACACACACACAAATGCACACACATAGATATTTCAGAGCAATTATCTCTCTCACACACAAATACACACACACACACAAATATAGAGAGAAAATATTTCAGAGGAATTCTCTCTCTCTCACACACACACATACACACACACAGAAACACAAACACACACACACACACACACTGAGAGATATTATTTCAGAGGAAATCACTATTTTTTTCTTTTCCAGCTCTAACAGTTCCTGTTCCCTTTTGTATTTTGCTTCTAGAAATAAACTTGCATACTTTCATCCTAGTACCATTGATACCTCAATAAATGGCAACTAAATTAATACTATATTATTCACAATGATTACAGTTTAGTAATTATTTTGAATGATCTTCTAGGTAAAGGAGATAAGTTCCTTTACCAGAGTATGATGATAGCTCCAAATTTATCTCTTATCTGAAAGTGCAATTAAGACTTATAGCTGGTGCAATCTTTCTCTAATTCCTTTATTTCCTTTATGTGGTTTTCCTCCTCTCAATGATTAATGATTAACTACAGTTATTTGTATCAGATATTTCATGTTAACACTAATAAGAACATTAAATCAGAATCTGAAGGTACTTTAAACATCAG